CTAAGATACTGTGCAGAACCCTCAAACTCCCAGGCCTCTGGTAGAGGACCCGAGATTGAGGTAGACCCATACCACCCATAGGGGTGAGGCAGGATTTTTTTTTATGCCTACTTTCAGATCCTCTGTAGCATTTAAAAGAAATTTGTCTGTTTTTGAAAATATGCACAGAATAAAGAACCTATTTTAGAGCTGTGAAAACCTTCTGTTCTCTGAGGTTCATGCAGGTAAAAATGAACGTTCCTAATCTGAAATTATTAGTATTTCAGAAACTCAGATTACAGAAAGAAAGCTGGCATTTCAAAGTTTGCTTAGAGTCTTTTTCTGTAACATTTATTGTTTGTGTTTATTATGTGTTATGGAAAATATTATTAGAATATGTAATAATATCAGGTTTTCTATTACTTGTGAAAACTGAGGGAAGTTATGAGGCTGACACCAGCCTTTATCCAGAAGCAAATTGAAGGGATCGTTGTTAAGGGCATGTTTCATATGTACTTCTTTGTCAGCACTGGTATTGTAAATTAATAATGTTTCTTCTGTTTCTGAATAATTCTCATAGGAAAAGACTGTTTCTTTGTACAAATTGTAAATTTTCCCTTATGTTTGTATTGTATATCCTAATAAAGTTCTTTGTGGAGTATGCTTATTCTACAGTTACAATATAGACACTTTTTTTTATGTATCAGCTTGCCACTCCATGACAGATGGATGCATCTACGCATCAAGTGCAAAAGGACAGCTTGCTTACTTGCAACTGTTGTTCTTCACCTGGTCATCTGCATATTCACATATGGGGGTTCTGACACCGACATCCTTGGGAATGGTCTATAGCTTAGTTCCGGTGGCAGAAAAGCACCCTTCTACTGTGCATCCCCATAAGATTTATTCTTATTTACCTCCATTTATTTTGACAAGTGTAGTGACACCTCCACAGGCAGATCACTGCATGTGAGGGAATGATAGCTATATGAATTAATTAAAAAATTACAGGAACAGATAAACAGCCTGTCCTCTTGCATCAGGTCCTCTATGCATCACATGTGTAGCAACTGGATTTGAAGCAGGAAAGGAACTTTGGATCTGGCATGGGCACACTCACACCACCTATCAGCAGCACATGCCTCTTCTTGTTGCCACCTCATAATGCTGCCTGAACTCAAACACGTATTTCCTAGGATTGGGCAGCTACCATGTGAGACCAGGAAAAGATGTGGTTTCTTTAAGATGCCACTGACAGGTACAGTGAATGTGCCCACACCAGATCCAAGGTACCTTTCCCTCTTGGGATCAGAATGCCTATGCATCATGTTTACCAGAGATGGGGCAGGCATGAAGTAGAAATGAAAGCACAGATCACCCATAGACAGCATCTGATGTGTTTGGGAAATGCAGATAAGAAAAATGTAGGCAAAACAATATCTTGGCTAAGGCAAACACTTAAAACAATAATCTGCATTTCTGCAGGTTGTTGCATACGTTATCCTTTTGAAGAAGATAACTTGCATAATAAGCTGTGGTGATAGCTAAAAATAAAAACTTTTATAGTCAAAAGATAAAGTCAAAGCAGAAAGAACTTACTCCACAGTGAGTATGCTGGCACCCAAGCGAAATAGCATCTCTACAGTGTAATCAGAAATATGTTCTCTTTTAGTTTTCTTTACTTTCCTTTATATTTTAAATTTGTATTGTTTTTACTTTGTAAAAAAACTTCTTTAAGAAAAATTAATTAATTAAAAAAAAGAAATATGTTATTCCGCATTCAAAATGCAGTTTTGAATTTGAAACTGCAGTTTTCAATTCTAAGTACATATTCCACATTCAAGCCTGGGAGGGCTCATTGCTGTAGCAATGGCAGTCAAAAGGAACTGAGGTAAATAACAGTAAATCCTATGGACGTGCAAGTGGGGAAATGCCTCTCTAGACCTGGCAAAGCCCAGCTCAGATCTAGAATGTCATGGATGTCTGTGCATGAACAGGAAATTCGGAAATGTTATATACAGAAACAGTGAAGAAGAACCAGCTGTAAACTCTAGTTTCCAGAAGACTTTTTGACCCAGCAAGTGCCTCTGTTAATTGAAGAGAAGGGGAATATAGTAATTTCAGCTGATTCCTCCTTCCTTTGTTGACCTCCGTGCTGCATAAAAATCTGCTCCAACAGTTTGGGAGAACCTTCAGATCATCATGGAATGTAGTAGAGGGTCTGGATGGAGAAGGTCCAATTTGTGAAAATCACCTTCCTTCCACTAACCAAGATATCTACCAGTTTAAAACTCTTCTACGAGCAGAAGGCAATTTTTTAATTCATTAAAAGACATCACTTGGTACATCCACTGTTTTGGGCATTACAAAGATATACCTTTAAATGTCAGACACAGTAAAATGGTGATTTAATGTGCTAATACAGACATAATGCATTTCATTTCTTAGAGAAATAAAATAAACTTAGAATATAATTAATAGATCTTCAAAGATTTCTGTTTTTCCCACAATCATCAGGGGAAAACATAATTTTCCCCTGCACCTCTTTGAACACTTCAGCAGTACTTTTACACCTCTAGTTCAGAGACGTGTCCATGTGTGTATCAGAGTTCCCAAACATGATCTTGAACTGCTGGATCATGTTTAATGTGTTTAAATGTATAACACTTAGGTTAAAGTTGGTTGCTTGATTTGTGTATGGCTATTAACTGGCCTTTATGTATATAAAATCACTATGACAAGTTATTTCATACTGACATTTCAGTGCTGCAGCTTTGCCGCCCTACCCACACACAACCACTCCTTTGACCATATGCAGAATCTGCTCAGAAGATCAAGAATGTTGATCCCAATACCATCACTAACACTCCAGCTGGACATCTCTGAATTTTTAAGTACATTTTTTCTGACCTTGACATTTGTCTTTATTCTTCCATCTTTGAGAAAAATAGAAAAGAGGTAGTTTCCTCCATCTTCCAATATAAAATACCACTGAGAACAAGTTTGGCCAAAAAATTATTTTCTTTTTCTTAGAAGGCCCTAGCTATATTAATTATTAATCTTTACTATAGAGTCCACACGCTGCTTTTCTCATTCATGTTTGTTGGTCCAAAGGATTCCTCTTTTGTTACCTTAATTATTCTCTATCCAACTATTAACCTTCTAGGGCTAGATTACAGAATTCTGACCATAAACCACCCCATTGCCAATGTCAGCAGTGTGATGGGACACACAAACACACAGACACTCTGCAGCCCCAGGGGGGAAGTTAATCAAGACTTCATCCAGTCTACTTGCATCCCAGATGGCTGAACTGGAGTCAGTCAATGAAAAAGCTACAGTGCCTGACTTCCCCAACATAGCATCTTCCAGATGTTTTGAACCACAGCTCCCATCAGCCAGAAACTGCATGACCATCAGCATGGCAATGAAAGAAGCTGTTGGTGCACAAGAAATGTAGCAAAAAGGAAAATAAGTCTGTTCAAACTAACTTAATTATTCAACTACACAATAAGATATACATAACTCAGTTCCTCTCATGAAAGTTCTTTGGTAATTACCTCTACAGGTACATGAAAATAACTCTTAATCCAGTCATTCTTGTGAACTAAAAACACAAGTTGATATGATACAAGATTTTTTAGAATTGAGGATAACTGTTTTCTGATAGAAAAACAGAGTTTACTTTTTAATAGAATAGGAATGATAAAGCAGAACTGGAAATAGGATTTTCAAAATAAAATGATCC